CAGACGCTCTGCGTGTACATTGGAATACGTGTACTACGGATTGAATAACGTCGTCCACGATAATGGAAGGCTTTGCCAAACCATGTATCTACAATACCGCACTATCGGTATCGAACACTCGGATCTCTCACGGTACCGTGGTCTTCTCGAAAAGCCAGAAAGAGCGCGAAATCCCACTAATCACGGGATTTAACAACTCGATCGCTCTACGGATTAGGCACGATGGTATAAACTTGGATCTCGCAGCATCTGAGATTTCCTGTCGAAAGAGAGAGAAGAGAGCGCGATAGATAAAAAACGTACTTAATTAATTGTGTAGTACCTATCGATATATTCCATTGTTTTTGACATCAAAAGCAACGTTGGAATATTTTCTAACAAAGCGATCCCTCTATTTTAATATATATATTTAGTAGGAATAATTTTATTCCTACTTAATCTATATATTATAATGTAGAAGCAATTAATAGAGGACTCTTACAGAGATATAACTTTATTTTGGTCTTTTGTTATATAAATGGATTATTTCTATATTTTAAAAACTATTTTTAATTGTATTTTGTAGAAATATTTAACAAATGTATTTGTACGACCACAATAAAAGTGATAAAAGAATCACGATTTTTAGGTTCGCGTACAAATTTAAATTATAAATTATAAAAATTATTTTTAGTAGTTGTATTGTATATGTATATATATATAAAAGTTTATTTAGTAAATACATTTATATAACGACGAAAAATGATAAAGAAATTTGATTTTAGATTTTGGTATAATTTCAAATTGATTCATATTTCTGACAATTATTGTTTTAGCAACGTTATTATATTGTTGATTTTGACGCTTTAACTCACACAAGTAAAGACTCGAGATATGTCAAAATTAAGCGCAACAAGGTAGTAGCCAAGAAGCTTCTCAGATTTGCCTCGGAGATAAAAGGAAAGAAAGCAGAGAGGCTCGCGGTCGGTACATGTTCCGTCGTTCCTCCAATTTCCGGTGTTCAGCCGGCAGCCGCGCGATTTTGCGAAACGGCCGCTTCGCAAAAAATTCCCGACACGACTCCGCACTTTGCCCGAGCGAGACGAATATACCGATTTACGGGAGTCGCGACTGCGGGAATTCCCGTCGCTTGTGATCGAAGATGGCTGGTGATATACTAGCCAGGGATTTCGTTGAGAAGTTGAAGTACGGAGTGATGGAAAAATAACTCATGTGACATATAGACGATTCTCTTTCTACGTACCCACGTTTCGAGAGTTATGTAATCTTATAAAATATCTTGGGAATTAATCTTCTCTAAATAATATTCTCTAAAATTACTTTTATAAAAAAAACTTATACCTATACTTCATCAAACTTAAAATTGTGACCGTGATTTAATTGCAATACTTAAAATTTTCAATTTTCTTTTGTTTTATTGATTTGAACGTAAGAAGTAAAATTTAGTCAACGTTAATATTTATCTTTTCTTTCAAGATTCTAATTGTTTTGATCGCAACGATACAGAATGTCAACAACCTGTAAAGTTAGCTGATGCCCTGCTGGAAAATAAGGGACCGACATTATAATTTAACGTAAACGAAAAAATAAACAACAGAACGTCACTTGGCTGGGGATGATTAAAGATGGCGTGCTTTCGCGGGCTTGAGCGTATTGATTTGCAAGGACTTGTGTGAAAGTCTTACGAATAATGACATTTCCACCCCCGAACAAAATAATGTTTGTGCCGACATCTGCACAGGATTGTAGCAACCGATATTGTCAGGAGTTTCCTGTGAACGTCGCAAGATGGCGAAGGCTGACACGTTTTCCACCCTTCGTATCGTGGGGTGGTTTACCACCCCGTCTTTCTCATTACTCGTAAAAGAAGCTGTTTCCATGTCATGGGCGGGGAAGCGGTAAGGAGTAGGAGATGAGCGGAAGGGAATGGGCGAAGAATATCGGTCGATCTTTAGGGAGATTTTCGTTGATTTACAGCGCCATTATCGATGCGGCGTTCGCTCGCGTCAACCGGTTTCTCGGGGCATATGGAGACGCCGTAAAAGGGCTGTAAATCCATTATTTACACGAACATGCGAACCAACGGAGGAAGGTCGCTCTTCGAGGCACTGTGAGTTACGAGACCGACGTTTCTGCGCACCGCGATGTCTCGTAAATATTTATCTCGTGCCAGCCAGAAGCAACACACCAATAAAACTGATTACGCCGCTCGATAAAAACCGTTGGTATATATTGAGAATTGATTTTGTTCGTGGCGCTTTTCTCCTAATCTGGATTTGAACTACCTATTTCAGCATGAAAAATTTGGATTAATCTTCCAATATATAATACATATATAATTTACCTGGATCTTTTTAATTAATTTCATTCCAATAAAAGGTATTGTTCAAGTTAAAAGATTATTCAGATTACAGCGCATTAATTATTGCGCACGTATTTTCAACTAATGTACTATACATATATAATTTCTATTCACAACTCATGTAGCGTATATAATTTATATTGAAGTTATTATTACAAATTTATTCCGTTTGAGTATATATCTTATTTCTGATAAACAATACTTGGAATATGCATGAAGAAATTGATTTACGTCATTCTGTAATATTTACGTGCGTTTAAATTCGTCCTATTACAATCTCACGTCTACACTTATTATATTTTCTATTTGTAAATGAAAACTTCATATATATTTGAAAAATCATCTTAGCCCTTTCTCGAGGAACGAAAATGCATTTCGTATAGACGGCCTTCATAAACGTTTCGAGCAAGTTACGAGCGTGTGCACTTTTTTATAGCGAAAAATACACCATCGTTCGGGTGGAGGAATGGTTTTCCTTTTATTAGGATATAGCTTCACGCGAAGTGATTTATAGCAGCAGCAGCAGCAGCGAACCCGCGCGCTCACGTGACGCAAGATGAAAATATCTCCGCGCGTGTGATTCGCGATACATCAATTTTATGCAGAACGCATCGATCGCGATCTGCCTTTCAATTTTCATGTAAATTTCGCGGAGATCGCGTGCCCCTGTCGCTTTCCCTTGTTCTCCTGGCGCTTGTTTCGACTCGAGATCGTTATGATGTATAGGACCCCGGAGAGACGCGAGCGTGGACGCGATTGTGCAGCAACCATCGTTGCAGTGCTCCTTATAAAGGAGAAATGAGATAAAATATTTGTGCCCGTTACAATGTCGCTTCTGTTCCATAAATATCATGATATGCATATAATGTCATTCGATATGCAAGACTCTTGCGTAAGTAAAGCATATTTAGGAAACTTATTTATAGAGGAAACGAATGTTGATCATCTCCATAACATTTAGTAATAGAGTGAAGTTATATTAATGGAAAGAACGATTTTTCAAAGGAAACTCAAGCACGGTAAAGTGCTATAAAAGTTTTGATATATTCTAACGACTCCAGTTTGAGTCTTTTATATATTTTATATATGTATAACATAGTTATTTTAATAATCCAACAAAATTTTCAGATCTAGCTAAATTTTTAAATATAATACCTCAGAAATAAGCATTATTTACATTATTTAGCATTTTAATGGAGCTAAAATAGTATTTGTTATATTTTTAGATATTTGGTTCTACTTATTTTAAACTCACATTCATTAACTATTCTCCAACATATTCTAGAGTCTCTTAAGTATTACTAAATCGATATTCACATCGTGAGATATATGGGACGAGTTGTCGATGTCAGAAGGGAGGCAAGAAGATTCGGTAGGGAGAATGTCGCGATCGAGTGTTTTGATTTATCGAGATGTATCGAGTACGCGCCAGCCATTCTATCGAGCGTTTCGGAGAAAATAGGAGATACGTTAGTTCGACGAACGGTCGTCGGTGATAATTGAAACCGTTAATTAAATCTCGGGATAAGCGTCGCGGCTAAATGAGTTTTTAGATCGCCGCTTCTCGAAGTCGCCAAGGGATGAAATCTCTGCCATTTCATTTCCGATGTAGCTTACCACGTAAATGATATTTATATCACTTGAATCTTTTACATATATCGCTTTATCTCATTCAAGAAACATTATTTGAAATATCTTAAAATATTGGAAAAACTCAAAATACAATACTTAACAAACATAGAGTCACTTTTATAATAGCTTTTTTTTAGACAATAGGAATTTATAACTTCAGAAAAATATTAAGTTTTAAACAATTGAAACGTACACTAATCTGTTCTCTAACTAATAAATATTGACATTTTATATTCAACTGACAATCGCGTTTGATCTATCGATGCTTTATTATCGTATTCAGAAGAGGAATGATTTACTTACAATCAGCGACAAATTCGATATTCAAATGTCAGCAGAAAGTTTGGCAGAACGGATTTTCCGATAAATCACACAGAAGATTGTCGTCCTAGTCTAATTTGCGGATCGCGTGCTAAAAGGAAACTACGTCGTTCGAAGGATAGGGATGGCGAAGAATTTATAGTTACCCTAATATCGAAAACTCACTGTGTGAATAGTTTTCAAGGGGGATGATATAAATTTTAGGACTAATCCTGTGCTTCCATTTTCACGAACAAACTCCGGCGATAATTTTTCGCCTGATGTAAATCAGAGATCCTCAAGGAGCTTTTTCCAAAAGCTTCTTAAATACAAATAAAAAATTTTACCATCGTTGAAGAGGGTAAATTATTGTCGATCGCCAAAGAATAATGCTGTAATGAAGATTTCATCCTTGTTTGATAATTAACATAAAAAAAAATCTTTGAAAAATAGCTGAAAAATTTGTTAATTAAATAATTAAATACTTACTGTAACAACGGGTTGACGTAGCGGAATATTGGTAAAAATAAATGAGTGACAGAGAATATATTCATTTTTCCCATTTTTTTACAAAATAGGTTACAGTTGCCATAAAGTTTTCATTTCTAAATGTCAATAACGAAGAGAACACAAATTACATTTGCATAAATATTTAAACATAAATATTTAAACGGTTGTGAGATATTTAATTTCTTTCTCGTTTCAGGTCAGAAAAATCTGAGAAAGTATCCGGTTATGATGTTCATCCACGGTGAAAGCTTTGAGTGGAACAGTGGTAATCCTTATGATGGCACTATATTGGCGGCTTACGGCAACATTGTTTTTGTTACAATTAATTTTCGACTTGGTATCCTAGGTAAAAAGCATACATTTTTTATCCAATAATAAAATAAGGTTACGAGAATAATCAAATATAAGGAAGAAGAAAAGTCTGTATAAGCCAATGCAGTTAACAATGCGCGAATCATATTTATAAATAATTACGTACAGAAGTATAAGTACATACAAATCACATTACGTTTCGATCTCGCTTTGAGTCCTCACATTACCAACGAGCTTATTAATGATGTGAGTAATTCAGTTTTGATTGAATCTTCCATCTACTTCCATTTACATTCTGTTAACGTGGCTCGTCAGCACCTCTTTGAAGAGCTGGTCTTTCGTACGTATTTATTATTTGTAGAAGAATTTTACCTTTCTCTACTTCAATTATTTTTACATGACGACATTATAAAAGATTTGATCGAAACTTAATTATCATCTCATATTACCAATAAACGCTGAAAAGGATGCTAATCGGGGTCAAAATGTATGCGATTTGTATGTAATTATTTATAAATATACTCAATAATTTACATACCGCTAATTGCTTTGGCTCATACAGGCCTACCTTTTATTTCGAAAATTGGTTACAGCTATTAGAGCCGCTAATTGACAAATGTGCGATTTGTGAAACAAAGATTGATAAAACAATCAACAAATGTTTAACACAAGAGACTGTATTAACCCATGTTGTATATTTATTTTATATGTATTGTTAAATATATCCACTGAAGATGACCACAGTATGTTTGGTACAAACATTTGTTGATTGTTTTATCAATCTTCGTTTCAAAAATCGCATTTGTTAATTAAGTAGCGCGACTCTAATAGCTCTTAAGATTATATCATATATAATTGAATTTGCGTTCCTAGAATCTATCTATTTGTTATTAATTATTTCAAGAACCGTGATAGATACAGAGATCGTTGCAACACGATGGCTCATCTTTGTTGCTCTTATATCTATAACCGACAAAGAGTTGTCGATCGATCCACCAAGCGGAAAAGTACTAACGCCTAATATATTTTAACTGCATACCGTGTCGAATAAATAACTTTGTTACTGTTTGTCGTTTACCAAGGCTGCTGCACGCTGCGCAAACTTCCTATCTAAATTTTTATCGCTTCGAGCTTTTCAATATTGGACTTTGCTTTCAAAGAAAGTTTACCGAGGTCACGATACAAGGCAGTAGATTTATCACGTCACCGGAAGTGTAAATGACGCTTTTCACTATATCATCTTAATCACAAACAACTATTTATAAACTAAAAAGAAAAGCTGTCTCGTGCACTTGTAAAATTCGCAGAGGTAATATAGATGTAACAAGAAGTTTTATCTTTTGGATTGCTCGATTCATTTAAAACATTATAAAAATATTCGTATTCATACGGGCGATTTAACAACAATGAGGTCGTGTTAGATTGCGACACGGTACTTTCTGGTATGAAAAAACGTTAAATTATTCCGTGTATTATCCAGGTGTGCACTTTTCTCATTGTTACTTAAAAAAAAAAAAAAAAGAAAAAAGAAGGCATATAACTGATGCAGTAATAGTATATATTTCTCTCCCGTTGCACGAGGGCGGTCATGCAAAAGCGTCATTATTCAAAAAGTTCGTTAAAAACTGCCATCCAGAAGTGCGGTGCATCGCGGCACCTGCAATCCGAAATTGTCGTGTACCGCGGTCGTCCTGAAGGGGTTAACAGCGAAATTCCGGCAATCCCTTCTCGCGAGATGACAGCGACGGCGCGATGCAAATAGACGAGCTCGCTGGTGCGGCGCGGGTGTACGCGGGTGTGAGTACATTCGGTATATCCGGTAAGTGGAGTGGTTGGCGGAAGAAAAAAAGAGGCGGACGCGAAACCATAATCATAAATTAGGTTAAAGTGCTGGGGAAGCGCTTAGTAACCCCGACCCGCTCCAGGCGGCCGTGGAGTTAGCCCGTGAGGAGCCTGCGGATAGCTTCTACCCGCCCTGCTATGCCGCCACCGTGTCCGCCCTGCGCAAAACAGGGGAAAAATATGGTCCCGAGCGCGAAGCGGCTGCCCGAGCAAAAACAGCTCTGGCGATCGCGTTACCGCGCGAAAGTGCTTCATGTTTAAGCACGAGGGGGGTGAATTTTGCATCTCCGCGGAGCTAATTAATTGGGACACTGAATACACGAGTCCCCGGGGATCTTGAAACCTGGAATCCCAGTTATTCGAGAGCCTCAATAAGAAACAAAAAAGTGGGAGGTGTGTCTCAGAAGCTTTCAGGTTGTCGAGAGGTGGATATTTATGGGATTTATTTTAATGCTTTACTTCTTTCTTTCACGGATTCTTGGATTTTCCGTTCTAACAGGTCTTACCGTTGACAAATTTTAAGACACACCCTTGGACCATCGTTCCTTAATGCGCAAGTTTATAGTCCCTTGACTTTTTAGATTCTCAATTAGTTGAAGGAATTCTCATTCGTTATTCGTTTAAGTTTTATGCTTCTAGTGATTAGAAGTGGATTATAAAACTTTTAAATAAATAATATGTGAAAATTTCTTGAACTAATCTAGCCCATAGGTTTTTAAATCTCAGGTTTTCAACGTTTATTCTTCATTTCTTCAGTTTTTCTAAAACGTCTTCCTTTTTCAATTTTTATAAATAATTAATTATTTAGATATTTATTCGTGTAGTAAATGCAAGAGCTTTTACCGTAGGTTTCCTGAGACCTGGAATTAGAGACGATACAGCAAGCAATTTTGGACTGTTAGATCAAATAGCGGCATTACTTTGGCTAAGGGAAAACATTGCGGAGTTTGGCGGCGACCCTAATAGCGTTACTTTGGTCGGCCACGGAACTGGAGCTATCTTTGCTAATCTACTTCTAATCAGTCCAGTTGCCAACAAAAAAGGTAAATAGGAAGTTTGTATATTAACGCAATCACGTTTTTTTCTTGCTCCCATAAAGTCTTGCTTTCTTGTTTTTCTACGGTTCAGTTTTCATTTCTTATTTTATCGTCTTATCAATTGTTGCAAGTCGTCCCGAAAAAAAGTTTAACATCCACTAGCTTGCAACAATACCCTCTCGCAAGAACCAAAGGACTGTATGCAATCCGAGTTAATCCTTCTCCTCGTTGTAATTGGAAACATTATCCATAGTCACAGGAGCGTACAGTGATCGCATATAGGGATCACGATTTCCGAGTCGGCGAGGGATAATCGTGAGATTAATTGGAGGAATCAAGCCGAGAGAGATAGGCATACGTGCACTCGCATTAAATGCAATACATGTGCACGGTCGAAACAATATTCGATCGGTATACCCTTTCGAATAAATGCTCTACTGATATTGAGAAAATTTATGGAATTTGTAATTATAAAATGGAAAGTGAGGACATTTATCAATAAAATATATTGAACCATAACTATTTGAATTATATAGTTCCAAGAACTATTTAGATAATTGTTGAATTATCGAGACGTTTTGCTTTACACATCTCAATTATTGGATATAAGTAAGATATAATCGTAATATAACTATTCAGAGATCACCATATTACCAGTGAATAGCCGTTTATTCAGATCTCAACTACTTCAATTACTTCCTTCCGAGTTTTCCTCTTTTCCGATTCGTAAGAACTTGCATTGTGATATTTGACCGAGTTTGACAAGGGACTAAGAATCGGTAGTCTACACGTGTTCAATGGCGAGCATACATCGACCACGAGCACTCAAGCACTTTCGAGTACTCGCCGGTGCTCAGCAGTGAGCAGGGTCAGCGAGAACGAGCAAAAGCATGAAAGAAGATGTCGACCATTTTTCACCCGACCGACTCGCAATGGCGGCCGGGAAAAGGAACTTTTCTCTTCCGGCCGGGCGCACAATGCCACCACGTCCGGCCAATAATTATATTGTGCAATGAAAAATAACCGGAGTTAATATTTTACACGTCGAGACAGAAATGCTCGTGCCATGCCGTGGGTTCTCAAAAATATTGGTGCCATTTTATATTAATAGCTGCATTCCTTCCTTATCCACACACGTGACGTAAATACGATCATTTGTTAGACCACAGTTGGAAAATGAAAAATTGAACATT